TCTGGCAAAAAACTTCTGCACATAAATTCCAAGACGTTGTTATGTTGCATCTTTTGGGTTTTATTTGTGTTTTTCTGTAGAAAACCCCCAAAGGTATTGGGGCAGTGCTAATTAGAAGGGAGAGGTTGTGTCTCTTATAAATTAGACTTGATGAATTTATTTCAGATGCATTATTCTGATTTCTTTTTTTTTAACACTGCTTCAAGCAAGTTCAGCCATTTGGAAAGAATAGAAAAGAGAGCAATAAAATTCCTTCAGGAAGCTGGAAGTTTGGCTTAGAAGGAAAACCTAAAGTGTTGTTGCTGCCACTCGGTTTTCTCTTTGTTGTGAGTCATATTTAATGTAGTTTTCAGATATGTCTGACATAAAAATGAATGTGCTTTAATAACAAGAGGCAGGAAGGACAGGGGGTGGAACTGGGTGAGCTTTGAGGTCCTTCCCACCCAAACCATGGGTGGGATTCCATGGAGTCCGTGATGAATTTATATGATGGCATTACATTTTCTGTTTTACTCCCTGAATTCCAGACGAAGCTCTGACTTTTGGTTAGAACACGAATCTCGACACAGTTTTCTTCCATTTTTCCGAACTTCCTTTTCCCTCTCTGATAAATGTCGTTGCAAAGCTTCCTTCTGTGTAGGAGTTAAGGGTTTGAAAACGTGAGGAAGATACTCCGAATATTTGATTTTCCTGCCCAGGGCAAACAAAAATAACAGTCTTAAAAATGCAGTTGTGTGGTTGTCAGCGCTGGAGCTCTGCAGGTGCCCTCGTTGTCAGAAGCTTTTTGGCCGAACTGCTGCATCTGCTGCACAAATATCTGCCAAAAAAAAAAAGTAAAAATCAGTGATTTCCTTTGCTTTCTTATTTTCTGGTCAGATGTACCTTGGCCTCCTCTGGGTTTGTCTTACTCTGTCAGAAGAGTAATAAATTCACGCCCTGTGGAAATAAATCCTGGAGTGGGACCCACGAGGTTTTATGGAATTATTTTGCTTTCGAGTTTTCTCTGCCTTCAGGAGTTGCTTCCAAAAATCAACAATCTGTTGGTGCCACTTCATTCTCCAAAAGGGCTTTGCAGACTTGAGTTTGATAATTGGCTTTTCCACACATGTTTTCCTTTTTATGAAGAGAATTGGTCGTGTTTTATACATTGTAAAGGGGATTGGACTGTGGAATAGTTTTTGCAGTGAACCCTAAAGTCAAATTCAGGATGAGCCATGGGGTGGCCAAGCAGACTTTGGCTGCCCAGGTGAAAGAGGATTTCCTTGTTCTGATTTCTTCTTGGCATAATCAGATATTGGGTTGATGTCAAAGAGCAGTTCAGGGTTTTCAGGCAGGTTTGTAGAAGTTGGGAAGTGGGAAGTGACTGATGATGTGACACAGAACAGGCAGGAGGGAGAGCCAAGTCCAAAAGGTGCCTTTTGTTTTTGCTGTGGTTGATTTTGTTGTGGTTCGTTTTGTTTCAAGTATTTTGCCCTGTTTTATTTTTATTTTTTAAATTGTTGCATTTTGTTTTGCCAACTCTGTTTCTTCCCCCTGCCATGTCAGAGATTCCCAGTGCATTCCGGGGACAGAGGCCCAAACTGTCCATCTTCTGGCAGAAAGACTTAGAGGAAGTTTGAACTCTCTAAATCTGCACTGGGCTGTTTTTTGGGGGGGAAGTTGACATCATTTTAGTGACTTGTGAGGTCCCCTCAGTTCCCACATATTGCCTGTGCCTTCCCACTTTCCCTCTGTCCTGGAAAACATTCCAGGCCACACTTTCAGCCCTGATTGTGCCTTTTTAGCCTCAGTGCTCTTGAGCAGTGGTGAGAAATAATTCAAAACATGGCTCAAATAACCAGGGAAATGTCTATTTGCTGAAGTATCAGAGCAGTTCCTTCTCCCACAGTGTTGTTACTCACCTGTCCTTTGATACCTGAATTAAAAATTAAAAAAATAATAATAACAACAGCAGCAGCCTTGGATTGTGCACATTTGTCTGTCTGTCCATCCCAATTTCTGTGTGTCTGTGCTGTTTTCCAGGCCAGGCCCCCCTGCAGAGCCCCCAGGACATCCAGGTGTACGTTGTGAACACCAATTTCACCCTGAGGTGGAGCCACCCCGGGGGTGAGCCCGGGGTGACCTTCTCAGCAGAGTACAAATGGTGAGTGAAAACTCGATTTTTGGGCCAGAAATTCCCACCCTGGTTTGTGCAGAAGAGCGTCTTAATTAATGGCTTTGCTGCTTGATTGCAGCCACTTTTGTAGAGCCCTTCTGCAAGCCAGGAAGGTCAGATCCTGAAACCAAGTGGGATCCAAGTCCTGGATCCTTAATTGGTCTGTGATTGATGTGCCAGATTGGATTGACCTGTGATAAAAGCAGTGATAAACACACGGCACACCTGCTGCTGGCGCTTCATTCTGGAGTGCTTCTTTGGGAAGATTAACTGGCACTCTTAGGAATATAATTTATGTTGTTTATTTTCAATGTGATTTATTCTCTGGGGTTTTTTTAATCGTGGCCACACACACAGAGAATTTGAGGGAATTTTCAGTGTAGCTTTTGACTAATTTGTTCATTAATCCACGTTTCTCGTCTGCAAGTTTAAATCCCCAGATGAAACAATTTTGGTTTTGTTCTTAAGTATTTGCTTGCTTTTCTGCAATGGTTTCATATCCCAACATTTTTGCTTGCATTAACACATTCATTTGGTGATTTTTTGGCATTTTCCTGCAAAGTAAATATTGCAAAACATTTCTAAGGTAAAATTACTTAAATTCTGAGCGACCTGGGCTAGTGGAAGGTGTCCCTGCCCGTGGCAGGGGGTTGGAATGGGATGGTTTTAAAGGTCATTTCCAACCCAAAGCATTCCATGAGTCTGTAATTATGAATATAAGCTCTTCTTCCTCAATATGTAAAGGAGAAACAGCTGCTTTGAAGACAGTTTTATTTTAAAAATTAAGGAGACAATGTAGGAGCTGAGGATAAACCACGACTAATTCGAGTCTGTGCCTCTTTTTTTTT